AATAAAATAAAATAAAATAAAATAAAATAAAATAAAATAAAATAAAATAAAATAAAATAAAATAAAATAAAATAAAATAAAATAAAATAAAATAAAATAAAATAAAATAAAATAAAATAAAATAAAATAAAATAAAATAAAATAAAATAAAATAAAATAAAATAAAATAAAAAAGTAATAAATAATAAAAAACAGATAAGAAAAGGTAAGATAAATCACTTGGTTTTTCCAGTCTCTATGGATGTGTATTTATCAAACCTAAAGGCATTTATGGGAATATTTTTTGGCTTTTTTCTGTTTTTAGTCTTAAACTCTAATCCACAAGGAATGATATAAAGTTCTTTCCACTGATGAAGACAAGTTTCAAAATAATTGCTTCCTGGTAATACGCGCTCATGCATTTTTCTAAAAGAATAAGTTAATTAAAATTTGCGTTGATAAAATCAGTTAAAAAAATGATATTATAAATTAATGCTGAAAAAATATAAAAGTCAATAAAACAAAAATAAAAACAGTTAAGCATTACACAAGTATAATATTATAACAATTTGTCGGAGGCAAGACTTTTCTTGGATAGTAGTTTAAATCACACATTGTTTTTACTATACTTTTGGTGACAAGAAGGTTTTGGTCTAAGGAATCTTGAAAAAATTGCTTAAAAAACCATTCTGAACGCCCTTCAAATAAATTTATTTGACTAGCCTTTACTAGTTTCGTATATGAAGATAAACTTTCAGTTCAAAGAATTTTGGCTTCTGACCATTGTTTATTTTTCATATGATCCAAAACTTGAAGAAGAAGGTGCATCTGTGAATCTGAGTTGGCTAGAGCCAAATTGTTAGCTTGTTTATGTATATTATAGTGAGTAAAGGCACTTTGAATGAGTGTAAGACTTGTGTCCACAGCACATGTAGAAGTTAAATACAATTCATTTTTTTTCTCTCCATATGGTATCGTAAAGACTACAGCGTTATCATGAGAGTTCTTAGACAACACAGTAGATTTAGAAGATTGAATTGATTTATCTGCCTATTATTTATTCATAAACAAACGTTATTAAATGAGAAAAGTTAAAATAACAATCACATTCATCACCTTTGATTTTTTTTTTAATTGTTCATCATCATATCTGATTATGTTAGCTAATTGAATTATGCGTTGATCTTTATCGCCATTTTCCAATGTAACATCTACAATAACCTCACCATCACCAATAATTTCAACAATTTGAACCTTATGATAAGGCTCGTATAGTGTTGTGTCTCGAAGTTGGATAGACTCTCCTGGCACTAATCTGCTTTTTCTTTTATTCTTAGGTCCTCTTTTTTGAGGTAATTTAAGCTCATCTTTGCTGTGACTATTAACATTCTTTTGATGAATATAAGACTCTAGAGAAGTATTTGATGTTGATTCAGGCACAGATCTATAAGAAAGCAAGGTATAGAATGATATATCAAAATAGTGATCAATTTAATGATACATTTATTAATCTAAGTCTATTAATAAGTATAGCTCTATACGCATCATTTGATTGCTTCTTAATTATATAATCTCATAAATTGCATACATCAGAACTAACAAACTTTTACTAGTACTGATTTGTGTTTAAAAACTTCAGCCTTTTATAATATTATATTAATTGTAAAAATAAAATAAATTTACCTTTGCGCTTTGTGATTACTATTACTATATAAAAAAAAAAAATGCTAATTAAACATTTATATAAAAAAATTAACAGACAAATAATCCATACTTTCGTGCTTCAAGCTCATTGATAAAGAAGCAAACAGCCGCAATGTCCTGGCAATCATGACCACGAATAATGTTAAAACTACAAGGGCAAGCAAATTTTCCATTTTTGCGAGTAACACATAATAGCTTTTCATGCTGTTTAATGAAATAGTCATCATTTGTTTCAGGGGTTTTTATTTCTCGGCTCTCAGATAATCTTGAGCTTTCTTTACTAACATCATTATCATCTAGTTCAGCAGCAGCATGTTGAACATCATTATCATCTAGTTCATCATCATCTAGTTCAGCAGCAGCATACTGGACATCATCATCGTCTAATTCAGCAGCAGCATGCTAGACATCATCATTGTCTAGTTCAGCAGCAGCAGCATGCTGGACACCTTCATTTATATCGAACCGAAACACATTCCAAGAATTTTGATCAATTTCTAATTAAAGAGATTAAATAAAATCATTGTATCAGTAAATATAAAAGAATTTATATAATATAATATATGCCTACCTTGAACACAATTTTTTTTGTATAATGATTTGCCCTGTTTTATAATTTTTTCCTTTTCTCATTACAATTTCGATTTTGTAGGAGGTTTACCTTCTCCTTTCCAGAACCTATATGAAAAAGATTATTTGATATTTTACAAAAAAAAGGTGTATTTTAACTAACCTTTTTATCTCTTCAGCATCAACATGCATCGATGTTCTGATTTTTTCAAGATTAGCATGTAAAGATTTAGTGTATCTTTCCTGATAATAAATTAACATATCTTTCTTAAAGTAACTTTCTAATAGCATGTTTGTTTTCATAGGACAATTATTATGCTTATAATCCGGCCAGGTATCTATTACAAAATGTGAAGGAAATCAGTTACTCTTTGTGAATTTTTAATACAGAAAAATTTAAACACAGAACCAATCTATATAAAATTTCTTGATATATTATTAAATTACTAATAAAATGTTTGATACAATGAATTCTTGAGTTTACATTATAAAATTACTAATAAAACACATAAAAGACCAATTATAAAATAAACTATATTTGGGTTTAGGTTGCAAATAAATATATCTGAGCTTCTATTCTTGTATGTAATTTTTGTTTTTATTTGTACTTGTACAAATAGTAGTATCTCTTTAATGTAATTACTATTTTTAAAGTTACTAATAAAGATATAAGCAAGGCCTCACCTTAATACCAAAAAAAAAAGTAAACTATATTTACTGACCAACCCAATCACCAAACCAATGTGTTTGAAAATAAGATGTAATAACCCTCACAGTATTCACTTCATTATCCCAATAGCATTCTGAAGTTTCTCCGCATCTAAAATGATAACTTTCCTTTCATCAAATTCTTTCTGATCTCAGCTTGACGAATCTGAATTGGTAGAATATTCGATCTTTAAGTCATTGATTATTCAAATTTTTCATAGAGGGTATCGGCTAAAAGAGTGTAAAATATAAATATTATAAGAATGCAATATTAAAAAAAAATAAAAATAAAAATCAAAAACTCACCTTCGTGCCAGTCACATAAAATTGCTTGCATATTTGGAAAGTATTTTTTAGCCACTACAAGATATGGGTTCTATTTGTCTAGAGTTAACCACTTAGAGTTTAGTTGAACGTCATTCATAGCACTATACTGAATTAACTAAAAATAGCCAGAGTTTAATATTACCTAATAGAATCTAGAAAAATAACTAAAAACACATACTGATTCGAACATCAGGCTAACGACTGGTATCATTTCTCTGTTACTTATGAATGTAGCTATAATTCGACCACGGGGTTTATCTGATCTGACCATAAAGCCCATATTTAGAAAGTTTAGTCAGTTACGGTGCCCAGTAGAATCTACTGCAAGAAGATCTGAATACTTGGTCAATAATGTTGGCATAATTGTAGATGCGATGCCAAGAAGTACAGCTTGTTCCTTGGGATCTTGCGTGTTCTTAATACCATATTGTTTTAATATTGCAACACCTTCAGCTTCGTAAGTATCCATTAAAAAACTAACCTGTTAACCCAAACAAAAATAAATAAATAAATAAATAATAAATAAATAACTAAATAAAAACCCTCAAATTATCACCTTCTTAAACTCTAAAGCACTTGAATAGTTTAATTTTTTTCATACTTGAGAGCATTTTGAATTGCCTCAATATTAGGTGTGAATCGGGTAGAAATTGGTTGAACTTGATTTGCAGGTGTACTAGCAGTTTCATTAGAAATCTTTGCATTGTTCATAAATTCTAAAAATATGAAATAGATAATGTAATAGTTGTTTTTTTTCAAATTTAAAATAGTTTTTAAATTTACCTGTTGCCAACATTGATGGCATTGCGTTTGTAGATCTACTTGCGATTTCTTTTCTGATTACTTTTGCTATTTGATATGGCTTTTTTCTAACATGTTCAGGATTATGATTTCCATGACATTCAATATCATATAGATTAAGTGATTTGTCTTTAAAAACTGTGATGCGGTCCTTCTAATTACATTTGCCCTTGCAGCAACTATTCTATAACAGTATTATTAGCATTTCATAAGTTAGTTTAAAATAAACAAATCTATTCAACATATTACATACCTGAGCAGAACATTTAAGGTATTTTATATACGCCAGTGTCGACTTAGATAAATACTTTGCATTTTTATCAATAAGTGTAATACTCGTTATATCCCCTTCACGTAACTTTACATTTGAAAATAATAAGAATCTATCTCACACATGACTTGTAATAATCAAGTTCCTTCCTTACTCAACCATTATTTGTACGGTCTTGAGACAAAACTGTATAATCTTCACTAAGACTACCACCTCCGGATGATACTGTGTCAAATATATATAGGTCTATTACTGAAGGTACTTCAGTTAGTGGTATTTGTATACATCTAAGATTCGAAAATAACAGACGCCAAACTATTTTGGACTGTACAGTGCTATCAATTGGTAAAGATAATTCGTTTATTGTTAGTGATAAGTAACTTAACATTGATATCTTAAATTATTTATATTTTATCACCTTATCGTGTTTTATCTTATGACTATCTTCTAATTGATGAGAGATATTTAGAGTTTAGCATTAATAATTAACACTTTAATACATCTAAAAACATCATCATAATCACCTCAAAAAAAAAAAAAAAGGATCAGGATTCATAAGTCATCCAAAAAAGTAAATTAATAACATGGTTTCTTCTTTATTCACGTTCTGGTTCTCTACAAGATTCTATATAAACATGTTTAGTCACGTCACAAGATTCTATATAAACATGTCTAATCACGTTCTTCAAGATTCTATATACTGTAAAATATATTAAAGTACAAATAACATAAACATAAAGATAAAAAAAAAGTTTATAATAATAAAAAAAAGCAAATTTTACCTTATAAGAAAAGCGAATTTTACTGTTACTATTGTGTAATAATAATAAAAAAAGTTGTATTAACGGTCTAAAATTTACCACTTGCGATTAATTCCATTCTACACCTTACTTTTTCCTATTATAAATTGAATATTTCAAAGAATATATAATAGTAATATGCAAAGATATGACTATAGAGAGGAAGACTGTATTTTATTTAGTATTATCAACTCACCAATAATTACTAGACAACTTAGTTTGCAGAGAATTTAATTACAAGCAGGTTATTTTTACAGTTGAGTAATTCACAGATAAGTTTTATTTGCTTATCAATATATAGGGGTTTTTTTTATTGATCTGTACTATATTAATGGTAAATTTAAAGCATTCTTCTTTATGATTATGCTAAAGGTATTACATTTTCATTAAATTTGAAGCTACAAAAAAAAAATTAGTTGTTAATAAACCCTCATATGTTCAAAGCTAACACTACGTATTAAGAGTAGGTTATACTTTACAAGTTGTGATATCAATTGTATCTTTTACAAGAAATTTTTTGTCAAGCAATTTGTTAATTAAGGTTCATTTTACCATATAAGAAACGTTAAGGATACTTCAATTCAAAACCTCCAAGTTTACCGTAAAATATAGAAAATAAGCACAGCACTCTCTACTCTAGGGTAGAGGGTGCTGTGCTTATTTTCTATATTTTTACGGTATTTATACTTTGCAATTAAATCGATGTCTACATAATCTAATCTACGTATACACATATGCACAGTTCTTATTTAAACTTACACCTGCATTTTTAAGGACTTTTGTGGTTACAACATATAATTCTTTTCTTGTTCATATAACAACTAAGACTGGAATATACAACATGCATATATATGCATATAGATCATATATTTTTTGATCAAAATACGTAAATTATAGTCAATTCAGTGAAATTGAACATACTTATAACAAGCAGAAAGGTTTAAACTTTATGTCAGTCCAGTATAGTGAGTGTTAAATCTCAGAAAAACTTTTTTTTCAAATATACAGTTTTATAAAGTTGACGCAATTCAGAATATAATTGAATTCATAGTGTTTATTTGCAAAAATTTAAAATTCTCTAAATAAAGATAATGACTCGAATTTATATTTGTTAATATATAGCAATGAATGACAATGCTTTTATTGTTATCACAAATAAGATTATCCAAGAAGATACAGCGTTTATACTTTAAAGATGCTACGGGTATTTTAAATGATTGATATTACATATTATCGAACTGTTTTTTTACTTTACGTATATATAAGAGTATTTAAAACAAAACTGGTCTGAGGTTAAGGGCTGGACTGATAAAATTGCTCTTCTGACTTTTTTTTAGATCACCCAAACAAAAATGAATTATAGTGTTAAATTTCTGTGCCAATATTATGGAATAAACCACTGTACAAGCACAAAATAATGCTCTTGAGAGTTTCTACAAATATTCTCAAAATGACGTCCTGAATTAACACACATATAACATAAAATGTAATTGATTAATAAAGTAAATGATTCATATATATAATAGGTCAGGCATGTTTATTTATTTATTTTTTTCTTGATTTAAATTTTTTTTAGATACTGCATTTGATATTATGCCCATCAGTTAAATAAAATGTATGAAATAGAATTTAGATTTACCAACTAAGGGTGTTTTTTCATATCTAAAATAGTATATGTCTCTTTTTTATATATACAATGCATAACTTTGAAATATATAAGTAGAATTCATTTATTTTATATATAATATTTTTTTTTTTCATGATTTTGATACTTAATATTCAACTGGGTTATTAACTTCTTTTCATATAGTATCCAGTTCAAATTAAACTATTACTGATATTTAATTCTATTATCGTATAGAAGAAAATATAGCAAATAGAAAAGTAAGTTGCTAAATAAACTCTAAAATTCGATAAAGACTTAAGCTTAATATAGTAAAGTACTTAATATAAGCTATAGTTTACTAGAATGAGGGTAAGTTGTATATCCTTATTGATTTATATATCAGCTAAATTTCATATAATAAAAAGCGATTTTATATAATTAAGTAAAATAAAAAGCAGCTTTGTATAATAAGTTAGCAGATTTAATCTAATAAAAGTTAAAAAAAATCGAATTTATCTAAAAAATCTAAAAAAAGCGAATTTATTTAAAAAAAAGCAGGTTTATATAAACATTCGCAAATTTTACATATTATATTTAATAATCGCAGATTTTACTTTAAATCTCAGATTTAACTAATTAACGCAACTTTTACTAGCTAGTGACTTAGGTTTCACCCTGTTATATTATGATTGTCTGGTGCAGATGAAAAATCTTATATTTAGTTTAGTTTTTTTATTTTCTTCTTTTTATCTTCTTTTCTTGTTTGTATTTTTTTTAACATTATCCTCTATACCTCTGTATTAGTTTAAAATTTTTTCTTTTTTCTTTCACTTTCCTATAAGAAGATGCCATCATATTATAAGATGGTGGTTGAATGAGCTTCTAGTTAGAGTATTATGTTAATTGATCATATTTCACTGATATAGCAAGTCATCTATAGGTACTCAGGTAGACTTTGGTTATATTGTAGTAGCTATAAGATGTCAGAGCTGTAGTTTTATTGTTTTAAATCTTCTATGAAATGATGACTTGAATAAACAAAGTTATTAGCACAATCTTGCTTAAGTAAAAAATATATATATATATATATCTGAGTTTTATTTAAGGATTTTAGCATTTATCACTAGTGGCGATACCACCACCACCTATTTCTTTATCAAATTTAGAAATAGGATACAATTTTAGACCAAGGTTAGAGTTAGGCATAAAGGTTCAAATCTTTATTAGGGTTAGGTTTTTAAGGGTTTTGAACATTTTTACTTAGTACCTTTGATATGTGCTAGCTAGTAGGTTTTTGAGATATTGTATCTCTGGCAATATCGCCACTGGTAATAAATAGCAATATTCTTTATTTAATCTTTTAAATTATAAATCTATAAATTATACTCAGTTTTTTCATAAAAGATATTAGAACTGTGTAGTAAATCATGTAATTTCTGTTTACTATAAAATCTACCTCTCCCCCTGTAATAAAAATTACCTAATCAAATTTTATTTTTCTTAGGACATAATAGATTTGATACCCCCTCCTCCCTAAAAAATTATGTGATTTTCTGCATTTTTCTTATAGCAGAAGGATACTATAGTCAATTCTGTATAATACTTTTTAAAGTTTAGAGATTTCTAAATTATATATTTATAAAATAACTTTTACAAAAATATTTAAAAGTATTTTTAAACTAATAGTTTTTTAAATAGTATATTTTTTTATAAGATAAGTATAGTAGAGAACTAAAAGCAGTTTAAATATTAAATTCAAATATAATCCAATATATGATAGGAATATATAGTAATATAATTTAGTAGATTTAGATTATAAATAAAATCATTTAAGCTTATATTCTTAAGATAAATATGTAGCTATATAGTGCAATTACTACTACTATATTGTTATAGAATGAGTTGTAGTATTAGTTTTATTATTAAGTTTATTATTAGTTATTATTAGTATATTATTAGT